TAATTTTTAAGTTAAATATTAAATAAGCTCATTGCTCGTTCAACGACCGTAAAACACCTGGGTTAATCTCTCTATTACTTCGTAATCAAATTATTTGGGTGCCACTAAATTGCATTCCTATTCTTTTTAACAGAAAAATACACGCTGAAATACTTATACAAGACTCAAGAGCCACTTAAGGTAGAGGGTTACTGAAGGAGGTTATTGTATGAGTGATAAGAGAAGGAGGTAAGAAGACCAGTTTACAAGGACATATAGAAAAGATAACAGTTAACCTTAGACATGAAGAGGTTAAGATCTCTCGGGAGTTTGTTTCACAAAGTAACGGTTATTTAGTAGATGCTGTCCATGTGGAACTTTCTTATTATTAATGAAATACGAAGGCAATAGGGATGGGTTGTTCCAGTGTAAGTGACATAGCGAACCTTAGCTGTAAAGGTTAGAACTGCTAGAACGAAGGAAAGTAACTTGCCAGAAAATTTTCCATGGATATAGCGATAGAATAGCGAGATATGAAAAGTGTTGTAGGGTGGAAAATAACTCGGTGGAAAACGTTAGCCTGAGAAGGTACAGTGAATTGTTTCGATTTATTTTATCGAAACAATAATTCGCATTAAATGTTATATTTTTTATAAAAAATATTCTAGAATTTCGATTTACTTTATTAAATTATTTATTATTATATTTATTTTTAAAATATTTAAAAACAAAAAAACTGCTTCATTTTGTTTGGCATTTTTCGATTTACTTTATTTAAAAAAATTAATTAAAAGTTTGTGTGTTTTATTGAAGTATTTTTTATATGTCAATTTGCAGTGTGGTCCGAAAGTCTTGTCACTCCTACCTCTCTTCCAAACTGTAGGAGCTCATGTCAGCTATCTGCAATAAAAAACAAAATTATATCATGTAGGGGTGATAAGACTTACGGACCACGATGTACTTTATTAAAAAATTATTTTACGACTTTTTCTTTTTTTTTTAAGTATTTCACCCCAAGCAAGTGCCACTAGGGCGTAAGGGGTTGCAAAGTGTGAGAGTAAGAGTAAAGAGAGATGTTTGAGGAAAGGATAAAGAGAAAGGTAGGAGTGTCACTAGCACGCAGGGGTTTACGGAGAGTGAAAGTGAGAGAAAAGAGTGTGCGTAGGGGAGGACTGAGAAAAAGAAAAAAGGCCAGGGATCAAGGTATCAGAAGATGTCGATTGACATTACATTTAAATTTTTGAAGATTATAATTATCAGGAAAAAAGTAAGAGGGTGGGAGTTCCAATGTAGGGAAATACGAGAGAAAAAGCTGTTTGAGTAGAAGAGGCGGTTACATTTAAATGTGAAGGGGCGGGACCGAGATGCTAATCTAGTTGCTGTAGAATAACAATAATAAACAGCACTTTCCGGCGTAAAGGTCCCAGCTAGCGTCCAGCTGGCAGACAAAAATAAAGCAGGTTGTAACTTAATACAAACCCTGCAAACTAACTGATGAATCAAGCTGGTATTTATATAGAAATACCTCCACTCAGGTACCAGCAGCCAATCACAGCCCAAGCAATGGACTATCCCACTTTAGCACAATGAGATGCTCCATGGCAACATAAATAGCTCTCTTTCTAAAGGTTGGATTATTATTCACTTAGCTTGCTCCACAACTGAGTGTTTATCTCTACCACGTGATTTTTCTACATGGCGCTGCGAACAGGATTCGAACCTGTGAGGGAATAACCCATTAGATTTTGAATCTAATAAATAAAAATTTTTCTACAGTTGCACGGTTAAATTCATGCAGCTGGGATACCAGTGAAAGTAGCTCGTCAGAGAAGTTGCCATAAAATATTTGTAGAAAAGATAGAGGGAAGCCACATCACGTCTGTGAGAAAGGGACTGTAGCCAAGATTGCTGGTCAGGACTTTTATTAAAAATAATAATTTAATTATTCCCTAATTAAGGTTTTTCTGGTGCAGGGTTGTCTCGGTGCTGAGTTATGCCACATCCTGAGTTGTCCCAGCGCTCAGTCGGCGATGTTGAGCTGGCGGCGTTGAGTTCTTCTCGTGCCAAACACCTTTGGGATATTACAGTCCAAGCTTCATCATTCTTATCTAAAACTTAACAGAGTTTTCAGCAATGACCGTTAACACATTATCAGATGTTCACCTAGAGAAACGAAAGCCATATTGCTTATCTGAAAAAAGACACTGCGAGATGAGATGTTTAATTAATTCAGAGTTGATTAGAGCCTCTAGTACTTTGTCAAAAAAGAGTTGGAATAACAGATCGATAGTTTTAAGTATCAGACGGTTCGTCTGAACTCTTAAAAACAGGAACTACATAAGAGGATTTCGAACAAGTAGGAAAACAAGAAGCAGTCTTCATTTATTGTGGAGTTTACAGAGAACAGTGGCCATTTCAGGAGGACATTTCTTTGGGACTATTGCAGGGATACCATCAAGTTCGCATCAAGGTGAGAGGTGATAGCAGTAAATATGGACGAAGTTATATGCATATCACACAGTAGACACTAAATTCTAATTGGAAAGTCAAAAATACTCTAGATGAGCTAAAAGAAGAAAATTTATGGGAAAACCGTTCTTCTTTATAAGCAGAAGATGATACCACTTCAAACTGAGTGAAGAGCCGCCTGTAATTCCGAGAACCTAACATTTCTGTTAGAAAACAATGACTTAGCCTCATTTGATCACACGTTTGCATTTAATACGATCAGACACAACGATTCTTCTGCTGTGATCAAAACTATTACGTTAGTACAATCGGAAAAAGGCGGGCGATAGGAGAATTTATATATAAAAATGTGGCAAAATTAGTAATACAGAACTAACCACAACGTCGCTGTATGATTCAGAGGCGCATAAGCAAGTAGAAAGATTGTGACTATCTTAAGTCATAAGATGAAGGAGGTTGTGAGGGAAATTCCACAATCTTAACTGTTCTTATGTAGAACACGCCGAAATCAGAATGTACTTGAAGGAAAATTACCTGTAGATATACTAGTCGGAAAAATCATTCGAAGAACGGTTGAAACCGTGTATTCTGAATAATAAATATTTAAAGTTTCAATCGAGAAAGTAAAGTGATCATAAGCGACATCAGACACGGAATTGTTTCAGTTTCTTAGATGAGAAGTTAGCATTATTTATATTATTTGCATTCGAACTAATATCCTCATCTTTTTTGCTATTACTCCAGCGTTTTGGCAACATTCAGGAAATTTCGAACTGAACCCTTTCTTTAATTTACTGGAAGTAAACTATTCTCGTTCCGCTGTCCATATCTATGTATATCTCGTCTTATTCTTTTTCCACTGCCCAGTTTTTATTCCCACAGTACAACAGCCTAATCGATTAAAGTGCTGATACGCGAATTTGGTTGCATTAGTCAGTTATGTGCTACACGCTTAGGCGATCATGTATCTTTCGATACAAGACTGACAAAGTAGATTTTTTGCCGGGGTATGATTCCATTTCTTTCTGCGGTAGACCAGTTGCCATCCAAGGCTATAGAACCCGGTCTGTCCTGCTATTTACCCATAGCTGGGGGGGGGCAGATAAGAACTTCCCCAAGGGTATTAGCACGTAAGTGGATGTAATGGATTCGACTCGGCTCTTTGATTCCTCAATCCAAGCCTCTATCCATTGGTCCACCGTGCCTCCAGTTTTGGTTGCATAGTGATCAAATAGCACAGATTTAAATTTAGTGTTAACAGAGAATCAACTGAACACAAATAGGTTCCTTCTTTTTTTTTTTTTAATCATTTCGCCTCAAGCAAGGCGGTAATGTCACTAGAACGCAGGGTTTAAAGGGAGTGAAATGGAAAGAGAATGAGAAGACTGGGAATAGGGAGGATTGGGAAAAGGACAAAAAAAATGGAACAGGGTTCAAAAAGAAAGAAGATGGCGATTAACGTTGCATTTAATTTTTTGAAAATTGTAGTTACCAGGGAAGCAAAGCAACGTACGAGAGATGTATATACAAATCTACTAATAAAAATCCAGAACATCAGTTGGAGATCCAATGCAACACTTAACACAATCTACAGAGAATTGTGACCAATCATTTTAAGTTGAAGCAAAAACGACTACAGTTTGCCGGCCACTGCCACTGAACGCACAAGGAAATCGTCTCATCCTTACTCCTATGGCATTCTTCTAGAAGTGTCAACTACATGAATTTAAGCGTGCTACTAGATTGGCATTTAGGTCCCATCCATTTACTGTTGAAATAGTTAAATGTAACCGCCACTTCTACTCCAACTGTTTCTTTCCTCGCACTTCCCGACATTGGAACTCACTTCCTCTAACTTGCTCCCCTGATAACTACAATCTTCAAAAATTCTTCAACGTTAATCGCCATCTTCTGTTGCCTTAATCCTTGCCCTTTTTCTTTTCCTCAGTCCTCCCCTACGCACACTCTTTTCTCATGTTCACTCTCCGTAAGACCCTATGTGCTAGTGACACTCCCACCTTGCTTGGGGGAAATGCTTAAAAAAATAAAAAAATAAACTTTGTTTACTGCACGTGTAAGCACTTGCATATCGCTTTTACTTACTTCCTTGCGACATTTTACCGATCTTCTTTTTTTTAAGTGCTGTACCGCTTCTAAACATGGGTGACCATGGCTCTCCACAACTTCCTATCCCTTGTAGCACTAAGCAATGCTTGTCTCCTTTCTATCCCTCCCAGTTCATTTTCACAAGCTCGTTAAGGAGGTTACTTGATGTTTCCCTCTGTTTCGCTTGCCTTTAGTATGTCATGAGTGTGTCAGATTCACCGAGCTCTCTTTCCCCATAATATGAAAATTTCAAATTGTCTCTTTCTTGTTCCCGTTTTACTTAAATCTTTCTCGTTGGTATCCTTCTTGGTAATGACCATTCTTTAGTTCCACCAGTTTTTGGGGGCTTTTTTTTTTGTTTTTCTTTTTTTTAACTGATACGATAACTTTAAAACTTCCTTTCTGGCATTCGCATCGCACGCAAATGAACAAAACCATAAAACAGAATGCCCATCCTTAAAAAAGGCGGCAAGAAACTCGATCCGAAAGAAATAGATTCGCGTGGTATAAAGATCATTGAAAGCTGTGGTCACGTCTGCCAGGTTGAATGAAAATGTTGATTTTGCTGAAAGGTGTGCCTGTCTTATTTGACTTTTGGGAGACTTTCTGTTTATTTCTAAAATGATGTTCATTCATCTTAAATAAGAGTCAGCCACAATTGAAGCAAGAATACTACGACTTGTTTTTTTATGAATGGGTTGTTGATCTTAAGGTGGCCAATGGAATACCCTACAGTCAGGGTGGTGTAAAACTTTCCTTTGATTAGAATCAGTTGTTGTTGAAGAAGAAAGGTCAGTAGTGTAGGGCAAATGGAAGCTCAACAATGCGGCCTTTCTAAAGTGATATTAACAGTGTAGACACATACACACAGGGCTGTAGGAGATTGAAAAATATGTCTCAAATATGTGAGTATATATATATATATATATATATATATATATATATATGGAATCGATTTCTTCCTCTATTTCATTTGTAGATATAAATAATCTTTCCTTCTTTCTTTCTGTCACTCTCCTTTTCTTTCTTTTTCTCTCAGGACACATGAATGCACGCTTTCGTTCACTGAAACATTACGCATATTCACATACACATTGACACACGTTTGTACGCACAGAGAATTGAGCTTTTTTTCTCTTTTGTTAAGATCACGGGATCACTTTTTCTCTCTCTCTTATAATTTATACATTTCTCTCGTCGTCGTCTCCCTCTCTCATTCTCTCTCTAACTCACACACATATATACATATACACGCGTGCGCACAAACATTCATACAAGAAGTTATTCTAAATCTAAATCATTGTTTTTCGCACACTCACACAATCCGCCATCTCACTATTTTCTCCGAAAATAGACTCTTTTAATCATGTAAATCTATCTATCTATCTATCTATCTATCTATCTATCTATCTATCTATCAGTGTGATCATCAATGAGATCCTATTCTATCTATCTATCTATCTATCTATCTATCTATCTATCTATCTATCTGTGTGATCATCATTGAGATCCTATCTATCTATCTATCTATCTATCTATCTATCTATCTATCTATCTATCTATCTATCAGTGTGATCATCATTGAGATCCTATCTATCTATCTATCTATCTATGTCTATGTTTATGCATCCGTGTATATGTGGTCCATTGTTCCTTCAATTGCTCTTTCTTCACACTCTCTCTCTCTCTCTCTTTCTTCTTCTATATGTGTATGTGGTCCATTTTTCTTTCAACTACTCTTTCCTCGCACTCTCTCTCTTTCTCCCTCTCTCTATGTGTGTGTGTGGTCCACTTTTGTTTCAACTATTTCTTCGCACTCTCTCTCTCTTTCTCCCTCTATGTGTATGTATGTGCTCCATTTTCCTTCTGTTATACCTGAAAGTACCTATTCTATTATTAATAGACTCTCTCACACATAATAAGTAGTAGTAGTAGTAGCGGTCACCAGTTGAGTTCAGTGGTGTTGAGTGAGTCAGTCGATGTTGGACATTGAAGTATCAGCCACCACAACTAGATTGCTGCGTCATTAACTATTATTGCAAGTTCCTAACGTTTTGTACGTCGGACCCTTTTAGGACCGACTTAGTGAAATACAAGCCTCCACTGTGAAAACTACTCTACAACACCTTCAACGAATCTTTCTTCGCACTCTCTCTTTCTTTCTCCCTCTATCTATGTGTATGTCTTACATCGCGGTAACAATAGCTTAAAAGCAAGTTTCCATTGAAAATCGCCTAATACAAATGACCTCATAAATTTATATTCTCACTAAAACAACAAAATAAAATCTTGAATACTCATCGGATTCTATTTAAAAGCACTCAGAGTTTGTGGACCCCAATATCTATATAAAGAAAAAAAATAGTTTGTTTCTTTGTTTAGAGTCATATCAACTCCTCATAGGCCATTTAATGCTGAAATTTAATTTTCTTGAGGTCATTAGCGATTTCTTTTAGAAAAATGACTTGCTGGTATTTTTCTTTTACTATGAAAATCTATTGCTGATATTTTTACTATATGTCTGTTTATACTTTCATAGTGTTATGGCTCCAGTTTTAGGGTTAACTATTTGTCCATAGCTGGGACCCTAACAGGTGCTACCACCCCGGGTCAGGGTGAACTTGAGAGCAACAACAATTAAGAGGTGGTCCCACCCCTCTCAAAAACTCCCGATCATTGGCCTTGCTGTCGGATGTAGTTTATCGTCTTACCCAGAACGGAAAAATACATTGAATATATTTTTAAGCACCTCCAATACCCTAATTATTTCATATTCAGATCGAAGCAAAAGGTTCCTAAAATATTTCAAACTAGAAAAATGGTTCTTCCTGACAACTCAAAGGTATCAAAATATATTGTTCTATCCACATATATCAGTTCAGCAGTTCTTTGATATTTCTTTGATCAAACATTAGACAATCCCAAAATCAGCTTATTTCAATCTCATTTTACGGATTTATTAGTCCACTCTCGTAAATGAAATTGATTGCCTTCTCAGACTTTAATACATATGCAAAAATAAGGTGCTTGCTTACTTGAGAGGCCAAAGATCTTGCCTATCATTGTTTGTGTAATGATCTGACAGGACGTTACGATAACTAAGTTAAGCTTACTAAATATTCATAATAGTAGCCTCGTTGTCCAGAGATGATAATTTCTTGTATTTCATGTTCTTCTTCAAATACTCCATTTCTGTGGCCATGTGTCAGACGTAGCTAGTCTTAGAAATGATCAACATACGTAAACCAAAACCTTTATTCACATACAGCTGGTCAGTTCTTCATTTTTCCTAGTTGAACTGAGACGGACCCTTGAAAGTAATTGCACGCCAGCCGGGAAGAACAAATGGCGGATAAATAAACAGTCTTTTTCCACTGAGAAACAATATTTAGTTTTTTCACCTATTGCTCTTACGGCCGACTGCCCTCTCTGATTAATCTGTGTTTCCTGAGTTTGAAAAAAAAAAACTCTAGCAGAGAGTCATTTTAAATACTAACAGCTGTCCATTTCGGTGGATGGGACCACACCCGTCCCTAATGTCCGTCCGGTTTGCCAGTAGCTGTGTTAACAAGAGGCAAGGATGCTGAAAAATATATAGTGAAAGAAAAACGATGTGTTAATTCCTAAAATTACATTTTGGAAATATCTTCGAAAATCTTCTGCACAAAAATTCAAACAATAATTTATTTTATATATATATATAGGTTCGATTCCGGTCGGAGGACGAATATTTTCTATGAAGATTTCTCGGACATTCAGGCCGGTAAATGTTATTAATACTGTTTATTATAAAACAGTGCATTTACTTATATATTTCTATCTATAAAAAGAATGTATAAACATAAAAATGTCTTAAAAATAATTGTCGGACTTTGTCCATTTCATAATGTGTGACGTCATTTGTTTACATTTGGATACGTTTTGAGCAGATATGAATGTACGTGAGAAATTCATGGAAGATTGAAGTTTAAAACCAGTAAAATCGACCTTGCTAATCGAACGATTCTCCGTGGATCGATCGGTTAAGGGACGTCAGGCTAAATGACGGTTCCGTATAGGATACAGGTTCAATTCCTGTCGGAGGATGAACATTTTCTATGAAGATTTCTCGGACATTTAGGCCGGTAAATGTTATTAATACTGTTTATTATAAAACAGCATTTACTTAGATATTTTATCTATATAAAGAATGTATAAACATAAAAATGTCTTAAAATAATTGTCGGACTTTGTCCATTTCATAATGTGTGTATATATATATATATATGGAATTTATAAACGGGGATCATTCATATACAGGTTCGGGGTTGATGTATCTTATTTATATAGTTTGCGACGATGTATTCTCGCCATTTAAATCATTAACCTCTATATTTGTTTTTTGTATGAATGATTCATGAATATATAAATTATATTTTCACCTTTTAATTGAAATTAAAATAACTGATCCAACTTGCAACTCTCGGATAATAAGTGTGACATTTCTGTAATTATTGAACAATATAGTTCATGCCATATTCACGGAAAATCTACCAGTAAAAAAGAATTCTCTTATTGCTATATTTGTACAAAAACGCACAGCCTTAAAATTTAAATTCAAACTCAGAATTGCGACCGCACGTTCCAAAACAATAACACATTTCTCATAGCATTTTTTTTCGAATTGCATCTCTATTTTCGTTGTCCTCTTATTACCGAGAAGTAAAAACAAGAACAATATCTACTTCCATACCTGATGATGTCTGTAGGAACAGACGAAAGCTTGTAAAAAATTAAACTTATAAACGAGGATCATATCATTCATATACAGGTTCGGGGTTGATGTATCTTATTTATACTGTTTGCGACGATGTATTCTCGCCATTTAAATCATTAACCTCTATATTTGTTTTTTGTATGAATGATTCATGAATATATATATATGTGTGTGTGTGTGTGTGTGTGTGTGTGTGTGTGTGTGTGTGTGTGTGTGTATGTGGCAAGTTGGTTGTGGGGGTGTAGGATCTATAATAGTATCCGAAACAAAAGTCAAACATGATCATACGAAATGGAAAATTTATTAACGACGCGTTTCTCCGGAAGGCGTATGCTCTCTTCGGCTTCCTCAGTTTAGAATGAATGAAAGACAAATCTGTGTGTCTCTGGGAATAAGTGGTAATCATATTTTTAAAATGTCTCTATGATGTGTATATACATGTGTGTATATATATGTATGTACAGAGATATATCGGTGAACATGTTTGTACAAGTATACACAAAAAAATGCCTCTAAGATATGTATATGCCTGGCTGGCTGTGTATGTAGTACACATGTATGCAAATGTGCATATATATTTTGTTATATATATATATATATATATATATATCCGTGTGCTCGGGGGTAGAAACTCCGACTGATGCCAAATCGGTCGTGTTTCGTTCTCAGCTTGAAGCAATCGGATGTCTAGCCGCACTGATGAGCTGTAATACAGCGAAACAGGCCTGTATGTGGATGACATTATTATACTCTTGATAATTTCGGCTGAGCACTGTTGAGAGAGAGGGTAATTCTAAACAACAGCCTTCTCCACTAATGCAACGCTCTTCATTAAACGAATTGAGCACTATGGCTGTCTGTCAATTGTTTACATTCGTAAAAATAATACGCTTGAATTTCTCTTTCCCTCTGCCGTGCGCTGATAGCTCACGGGTAGAAACTCCGCATCAGTGTTAAAGGTCCTCTTGGGCGACCGTATCTTAACTCGAGTCTTCTTTTCTAAACAGTAAAAACATCTCCTACATGTTCTTTCACACACTACGCCATCATCTTCTTCTATGTGCCGTGATTCTTCAGGACATGGACGATAATGGATCTCCACAATATCCTTTTGTGTAGCTATTATTAAATTTTGTCTTTTCACTATCTCTCTTAATCCCTGTTCTGACAAAGGGAACAATGCAAAATCAATCAAAAGAAGCCAAATCATCAAAAGCACATGTAAGCAGAAACAGCTGAAAGGGCACATAATGGGGAAAGAACGCTTGGAAAATATAATACTCACAGGACAGATTGATGGCAAGAGGGACAAAGGGAAAGAACGCATCACCTACCTAGCGAGCTTGAGTAAATGGATGGCCAAACAAGGATTAGAAGAGATAACAAAAAGACAAAATTTATTAAAAGCTACAATGGAAATTGTGAAGAGCCATGAACGCCAATGTCACAACACATAGAAGAAGAAGTTACAGGACATATTGAAGTCAAGAGTGACAGAGGAAAGCAGCTGAGCCTAACGAGTTTGTATAAATGGTTGTCAGAACCGGGAACTTTTCTGTTCATCCATATCCTCATATATACACACACACAATTTTAAATTTTAACGTTCAGCGATTCCTACCGTTGCATAATTATAACCAACGTTTACGTTTTTATACTTCCCTCCTTTTCCTGTACTTATACAATTCATTACTTTAATTCGATGAAGTCCTACTAGAGGTCGAAACACGTTACACAGAATTTTTCCACTTTGTTACATATATATATATATATATATATATATATATATATATATATATATATATGAACATTGAAGTCAACACAGAGAGGTGACAGACTGTTTCATGATAGACGCAATAGCCAGGCCGGCTGACGATTGCATCTATCGTGAAACATCCTGTCGCCACTCTGTGTTGACTTCAATGTTCACTTTTATATTTATATTTACATACGCTCTATCTCTGATATTGAGCAATTTATCCGGTAAATATAGCACATCTTAAAATTATATTTCTTCATATATATATATATATATATATATATTGATTTCACCCCAATCAATGTAGTAAAGCCATTAGAACACAAGGGGTTACAGGATGTGGGAGAATGAGAAAACGGAAACTTTACTAAGGATCAAGAACAAATGAAGATTAATCAGGAGGACACTAGAATGCGATTGACATTGCATTTAAATTTTTGAAGATTAAAATTGGCTGGAAAGCATGGAGCTGGAAGAGAGTTCCACAAGCGAGAAGTACGAGAAAACAAAATGTTAGCGTAGAACTTACGGTTACCTCTAGCAAACTCAATTGTATATTGGTAAGACCTCGTCACTAGTTTAGTACTTCGTTTAAATTCATAAAGACCATGACGAAAAGCACACGCACCTATATATATATGTGTGTGTGTGTGTGTGTGTGTGTGTGTGTGTGTGTGTGTAAGCAAATATATGGATATAGATCCGACAGTATGAAGAAAAATATACTGAAAAATCAAACAAAAATCCTAATATGCGATTAAAACAGCATAATCGCATATTAGGATTTTTGTTTGTTTTTTCAGTATGTTTTTCTTCATATATATATATATATATATATATATATATATATACGTGTGTGTGTTCATCGCCATGGTATCTAGATAGATAGATAGATAGATAGATAGATAGATAGATAGATAGATAGATAGATATACGTACGTACGTATGTGTATATGCATGCATGTATGTGGATACACATTGCATTTTATATAGGTGAATTGATCACCACAGCGATACGCCGGAACACGGACAATAGTATTATCCCTGAACACATAAATTTAAACCGTATTTCAGTCTAAAACTATTCTATACTTCCGAATGCTTTTCCAAATATTGGTAAGCGTCAGGGTTTGGGACATGTGTTAGAAGAACTATAATACGTTGTTGTATGTGAACTCTGTACATTTCAACACAAGTGTTGACAGAAACCTGGTCAAAGTTTGTGGAAGATATTGTTTTTAGCCCCAGAAAATCTCCAGATTGATAAGGGGAAGACGCGTGTTAGTTTTACGGAGGCTGTGAGAAAGCTAGTTAGATGAGGGTCCGCATCCGAAAGTAACTTGTATTGCTCTTAAACCAGATGTACCAAGGACTCCCACGCCATCCTATCTTTGTTTTTATTTCAGGCGTAGGTCGGTTGTATTTTGTGAAGGGTCAAAGAAGAAGAAGAAGAAAAATCTGGAGTCCACTGCTTCCGGTGGAAGGCGGATGCGACACGCCAATATCAAATATAAACTTTGGAAAGGGGTTGGGACGCCTGTCTTCGTGGGTCTCTGAAAGTCCATCCCCCGGGCGTCTTCTTTTGCCTGTTTTGTTTTGCTTAAAGAACTGTTATTCTGTGATTTCTTCCGAGTCAATCGAGAAAGAAAAGCTAGTAGAGCATCAGATTTAAATTTTCCAACGCACACGTGTCAGCTGGCTAACTATAACTCTCTACTAATACGTGAAGTAAATTTATGAATGGTCTTTACAGAATACAATTGAGGGAGTGTACTATTTTCTACAAAGTTTGACAGGTTTTCAGCATTCTATTGCTTTGGGTACTTAAAATTGGATGAGAGAAACAGATAGTCGCCATTTTGACAAAGGTCTAATTGTTTCTAAATATGAGGTCGCAAAAAAAGTTTATAGCGTTTTT